CTTCGGGGACCCCAGGGCAGGGGCCGCGCCGAGGCCTGCGTCTCGGTTCAACGCCTTCCCTTCCTGCTGGGCCCTAACCCCGTGCGGACGGAGCGTGTCAGCCGATGGGGTTCTCTTCGTTTGCTGTATGGGACGTCGGTCACGCGGGGGTGCTGGCTGACGCCGCGGCAGCTGACCCTCCCCTGGCGGGAGCTCACTGCTGTCCGGGACGCTCTGGCTGTGGCACGGAGCCTGGGCCCAGGGCTGGTCCGGGGGTGGGGATGGGGGTGGGGGAGACCTCGGCTGAGGTGCTGGAGAGAGCGTCTCAGCTGGAGCCAGGCTCTGGAAGGAGGAGGGTGACATGGGCCCGGCCGACTCCGAGCTCCTGGAGTAGGTGTGTGAGCTGGGGCTGTTCTAGAACCTTCCTCGTGGGTCGGTGCCGGGTTCAGTGAGGTGCCAGGTGCACACTGGTGAGTGCGGTGCCCGGCACGTGTGCGTGGTCGCCTGGGCCGTGGCTGAGTGTGTGAGTGCTCTCTGCACTCTCCGCGCACACACAGCAGAAGGGTCCGGGGTCACCCGGGTCCCGGGGCCGGGGCTGGTCACAGAGCCCTTCGTCCGTGTCCGAGCCCGCACCGCCCTCTGCTCACCTTTGTGACTTCCGTCGAGGAGAGAGGGAAGGACGGGATGTTGGGGTGTCGCTGGAGGCCACAGGGCGCGTAAGGGGCTGCGCTGTGGCTGCGAGGCCTGCCCGGCCGCCCTGTGGTGCCCTTCGCTGTGGGCGGGGCCCGTGGGAACTGGGGCGTGGCCATCGGCCAGGTGTGATGGTGATGGGCTTCCAGCCGGTGTTACCTGACTTCATGGTTGTCTCAGGGTCTCCTCCGCTGCCCGCCCTTCCCGCCCCAGCCCCTCCCACGAGGGCAGAGCCGTGCCCTGTGGGCACCCTGTGTGGCCTCGTCCTCACAGCCCTCGTCACGTGCCGGGTTCCCGTGACCACAGACTGAGAGCCTCTTAGGCAGGACTTTGTCCCTAAACTGTCTGCTTCCCAGCACCCAACACGGGGGTTTCATACCTGGATGAACGGGCGTGTCATGCTGCGTGTCAGCCTATGACAGGAACACAGTGCCATTCCGTCTGCCTGGATGCCAGAACATCCGTGTGCCTGCAGCGACTCCCCCCCACCCCCTGCCTGGGGGTTCTGCCCCACCATCCTCAGGAGGGTGCCCCAGCCCCAGGCTCCCCGGCGCCCTCTGTTGGCTGGGCAGGTGTCCTGCAGACCTGGCGCCCTCGCTGGATGGCGACAGTCCTGGCCGAGGCCTCTGCCCGGGAGCGGCCCTGGGCATCGTCGGGAAGGGGGGGAAGGGCCGTGTCTCTTGGCTCCCGATGCCCGTGGCCCACGTGGATGTGGCCTTGCCCTGCCTCCCCCTCTGGTTGGGGAGCCGCTGCCCGGGGTGCACGGTGGCTGGGGAGGTGGAGCGAGGCCTGCCCCCCCCCCCGCACCCCCCCGCACCCCCCTGCCAGGCCAGCAAGAGGAAAAAGCCCAAGACAGTGCCACAGCGATGCCCCCACTCTCCTCCCGCCATTAATCACCGCTCCCGGGCGCCGGCTGTGTCTGAGAGGCACGGGGTCCGAGGAGAGCGCGGCGCGCCAGCCTCTGCGGTTAATCTGCTCCCGCGTGACAGGCGCCCGCGGCCGTTAATCACTCGCTGTAATTACAGCCCCGGCTCGGTGACTGTTAATGGATGCGCGGCGGAGGGGCTGAGCGCACGTGTCCTTCCCCCGTGGCCCGGACGCCAAGGTCGTGGGACCTGGCAGGCCCAGTGGTGCATAGAAATCAGCATGTCGTCCGCGGGCGGGTGGCCGGCTGCCAGCCGCGGCTGCGCCTCGCTCTCGCCCACGTGGCCTGCACGCTGGCCAGACCCGGGCGTGGTGCCCTGTGGGCCACCCCGCCGGCCAGGGGTCCCTGGGTCAGAGCTGAGTCCCCTGGGGGCCGCGAGGACCACTGGGCCTGCCTGGAGCACGCCCATGGGCCTCCTGCCAGCCAGGGTGGGGGGGCGGGCAGGCATGGTGGCTTTCCGTGAACCTCCATCCCCACCTGGCAGTTCTGGGGCTCCGTCCTCAGCTGGGACGTGGCTGGCTCTGCCCCCGGGAGCGTGAGGCCCCTCCGCCGCCATCGGGGGCCGGCGGGGGGGTGTGGGCGCCCCTTCTGTGTGCTCCTCGTGCGAGGTTGGCTTTTCTCCGATTGTAAAGTCACATGTGCTCATTGGAAACTTCTAGCAAATGCCTCCTTCTCTGGGCTTTCGGCCCAACAGGAGGGTCAGAGGGGTCTTGTGGATGACCTTGTGCCGTGCCACCTGCTCAGCTGGGGAAACGGAGGCGCGAGAGGGCTGGAGAGGCAGCTCCGTGGCAGCACAGGCCGCACCTGGCTCCTGCCGACGGCGTGGGGGTGAGACCCGCCAGGCTCCAGGGGCCCATCCCAGATGCCGCTCTGCCGTGGCGACCCGTGGTGTGAAGGGAGTTGGGGCCGGGAGCCGGGGTGCGATGGACAGAAGCATCGCGACACCCGAAGTGTCCCTCCGTTGAGGCCGCTGGCGCCTCCCGAGTGGGCGGGGCTTCCTTACTGTCTCCGGCGGCAGCGGGCGGCCCAGCGGCCCAGGAGTTGTCCCAGGCTCAGCCCTGCCCTGCGGGCTCCCGGGATGGCGTGCGGGTGGGAACCTCTGCAGACGTTTGCTCCTCCACACGCAGGGCCTGGGCGGGTCTCAGCTCCCGCTGGGCAGCGGGCGGGGGCAGCGGGGGAAGGCCAGGCACGTCCCCCCTCCCCGCCTGGCCCGTTTCTCCTCTGGACCCGACGTTTCCTCCCGCCGAGGCTTGCTGATGGCGACGTGATCCCTGCCCCCAGCTTCCCGACCTGGGACAGACAGGATGGGGTGAGGGCCGGGTCCCGCTCAGCGCCGTGTCCTTGCTGCCCTGACTCGGCCTCACCCTGCCCGGGGCCCAGGCTGCGTGTTGCTGGCCGAGAGGCTCTGTGGCCGGGCCGAGCTGCTGGAACGGGGGGCCGCCAGCAGGCTCCCTCCTGGAGAGTCAACAGCACTTGGAAGCCAAGATGGGCCAGGACGTGGAGGTCACCTGGGCCAGCTTCCTGCCCAGTGGGCACCTGCTCCCCAGCTCCCCCGACAGATGGCCGCACAGCGCTCCTCGCCCGCCCTGTGATTGGTGGCTTGGTGATCCGGGAGCCCGGGGACAAGGAGAGCCCTGGACCCGTTCCCTGTCCTCCGCAGGGTCCGGCAGCCACTCCCACGCCCTCCTCCTCCTCCTCCTCCTCCTCCTCCCCTCCTCCTCCTCCTCCTCCTCCTCCTCCTCCTCCTCCTCCTCCTCGCTCCATGCGGCTCCGTGGAGGCAGCCACGGCACAGACGTCGGGCAGGGTCTGCAGGAACCGAGCCTCGGTGCCCTCATGCCTCACCCGGTTTCCCTGTCCTTCCTCCAGGTCCTCTTACAGGTTCCAACCCGTGGCTGCTGGTGACCGGAGCCCAGCAGGGGCCTCCTCTGCCGGACGGCGGTCCGTGTCCACACCCAGAGACAGGGCAGCAGGCGGGGGAGCTGCGCTGGCCCTCGCTCGCCCGTCCGCCCTCGTCTGCCCGTCTGCAGCAGCTCCTGCACCTTCAGCCTTTAGGGGGCCAGTCCAGGGCCGGGCCTGCACCTGCAGCCTTTAGGGGGCCAGTCCAGGGCCGGGCCTGCACCTGCAGCCTTTAGGGGGCCAGTCCAGGGCCGGGCCTGCACCTGCAGTGTGCGCCAGGGGGCAGGTGTGCTGCCCCTGCACCGCTCTGTGTGCCGCCCCTGCACCGCTCTGTGTGCCCACCTGTCCACACCGCAACCCTGTGGGCCCTGTGCCCGTCCCTGCCTGGTGCCACAGAGGGCCCGGCGTGGACTCCGTCCCTGTGCCAGGCGTGCAGGGGCCAGCGCGGGGGTCAGGGGTGAGGACGCTTTCCGTGTCATCTCCGGGCAGGAGAGCTGACGAGCAGCGATGCGGACGGAGGCCTTGGGGGCACCGTGGCTGTGGCCTTCCTGCCCCTAGGACGGGTCTCCCAGCCCCGAGCATGGGCGCCTCGGCGTCATGGCCCGATTGCTGCTTCTTCGCAGACGTGGATGGGGCTGCTGTCGCCGACCCCGCCGTGGGCGCGCCCAGGAGCCGTGGGGACGAGATCTCTTTGACTCGAGATCTGTGATCCGTCTGGGCGACAGTTTCTCTGTCATCGAAACATCCAGTCGTTTCCGCACGGAGCTGTCGAGGTCTTAGGAGTTCAGACGGCGTGGGCCCCGAGTCACCCCCGAATTGAAATAGGAGCTTTCGTGTTTCTCCAGCGGTTCTTCGATCGGGGGTGGGGGGGACTGAGGCCCCTGGCGGGTGATGCCATGAGGGCAGGTGACCCCGGGCTCAGGAGTCCGAGGCGGGAGAGGGCTGGGCAAGGTCATCGGCTCCTCCCCTGCCTCCATGGAGGTCACACACAAGTCACCAGGAAGGTGCCCACGCACCTCCACGCGGCGATGCTGTCCCCAAGGGCTCCCAGATGGGGGGGGGGGAGACAGGGGGCAGACAGGCATCAGGCTGATGCTCTGTGAGCCCCTGAGGCCACACACAGAGGCCAGAGGTTGGCATCCCTGTGCCCAGGTCACCAGGACTGCAAGCTCTGGGGCCTCCTCCATCACTTCAGGGGTGAGGGCCCCCTAATAACTTGGGGCCTGGGGGCTCCCAGGAGGGCTGTGCCTGGGCGTGGCACTGGAAGGAGGGGATCCCGGAGAAGGGCCCGGGCTGGGTGTGTTGGGTGTGGTCCGGCCGAGGGCCTGGCAGGACCCGGGGGTGGGGGGGTGGGGGGGTTGGTGGGGGCATTGGGGACCACAGGGCCCGCTTCGCAGGGTTTGCTTCATGTCAAACAGACCTCTGCTCCCAAGGCGCTCAGCTCAGCGCTTTCTTTCTCTTCTCCTTCAGGTGGGAGGCAGCGGCCTTCTCTGAGCTCCTGAGCCTCTTCCTGCCGACACCTGTCCCTATCCACCCTCCACCGCCACCGCCACTGTCCACCCCCAGGCAGTTCCGGAGGGACCCGTGGGGCCTCCCAGGGCCCGGAGAACAGAGCGCACCTGCCCCGCCAGGTAAGGCTGCGGCCGCCACGCCTGTGCTGAGTCGCTGTTCGTGGTGGACACGGTTCACGGGCCATTCTCTTCGCTCCGGGACCGCAGGGTGTTCGGCTGCGTCAGGGCGCAGACCGTGGGCTGTGGCTCCGGGGGATCGGCAGGTCCCCGGGGATGTGTCGGGGGGACTTGTGAGGAGTGGCTGCTCCCTGTGCCCCGAAATCCGCCAGCCCGGCCGCAGAGCTCAGCGGGCGGAGGGGGCCAGGGTGTGGTGCCCACTGGCTGGCGTTGGCACAAATGGCCAGAGGCCAGGGCGGGCCTGACCGTGCCCTGCTCCTGGGCCCGGTGACGCCTTCGTCGGCTCAGAGGGTCGGTGCTCGCCCGTGCCACCTCGCGTGGGGCTGCCCTCCCCTCCGGCAGCGACAGTGGAGCTGGTGGCAGACCCAGCCCCGCCACGCCTCCAGCCCCTCGTGCTTCTGACCCCCTGGCTGTGAAGTGGAGGGTGCCCACGCCCCTCGTTTTCGATCATTTCTAGAAAGACCCGTGGAACCCCCGGGAGCTCCGCCCAGGGCTCTGGTTTCACTACAAAGGGGACGAAGGGCAGGCCTGGGAGGCCCGCGCGGAGCCGCTCCCATGGTCGGCACAGGTCACCATCCCCCACGCGGTGTGGCGGGCAGGTGGAGGGCATCCTAGCTGTGCCCGGGGCACCCGTGGTGGTCACCCACACCCCAACATCCAAACCCGCCTGTCTGCCCTGGGACGGACCCACGCGTGGCGCCGTGCGACTTCCCGTCAGTCACCTGGAGTGATCCGCCTCCCGCGCCGTCCATTGTGCCGCCCGGTTGGCATCTAGGCGCTCCTGATGGCGGTGGCAATGGCAATGGCGATGGTGGAGGGGCGGAGAGCGGGGCTTTATGTGGTTACGCGGAGCCAAGGGGATGTCCCCGCACTCGGGCGGATGCATTCCTGCCCCTCGGGGAGCCCGGCAGGACAGGTGCCCCACCTGAGAGATGCCACGGCTCCTCCCTCCCTCGGGGCCCCGCCTGCTGCCCCCACCGAGACCGGAGCTTGGCGACCGGGTCCTTCTAGAAACACCCGGCTCCTGCCCCTGGCTACATGCATTTGGAGAAGATTCAGGAAGAGTGCTGAGGCCAGCTTCAGCCGCACCCCCCTGTCCCCCCCGCCCATTTCTATAAATTCGAGGTGGCCTGGACCGGCTCCTCATGGGTCTCCACGCCCCCGGCCCTCCACGCCCCCAGCCCTCCACGCCGCCTCCGGACGCCCCTGGCTGCCCACACGGACGGGACGGCCCGGACCCCGCTGGCACTGGTGACCTTTCGTGCCGTCTGCGTTTGGCGTCTTCCCGTCCCGTCCTGGCGCCGCGTGGGTGGGTGGGAGGTAAAGCTGCTCGTTGGCGCTGGTGGGACGTTTTCTTAGAAACAGGAGGCGGCCAGTGCTCTTCCTTGGTGACTCCCGGGCGCCGAGGCCCAGTGACAGGGCTCCCAGCGCGTCCCGTCCCCGTCCCGTCCCCGTCCCCGTCCCGTCCCCGCCTGGTGCTGCCCAATTAGAGCCTGTTACTCACCAGGTGTTGGAGCGTTAGGAGCAATTAAGGTGAGAAGAGTGCAGATGCGCTGGAAGCGCTGGCTGCTCCCCAGATGGGAGGGGTGAGGAGAGGCCGAACCCACAGGGTCTCATCAGAGCCGCGGTGGGAGGGACCTGTGGGCGGGACCCCAATCCAGGTGCCTGGGGGGGGGTGTCAGGGTCTGCCACATGGGACCACTGATGTGGGGCAGGGGCCCTAAAACAATAGAGACTTATTCTCTCCTGATGCTGGAGGTGGGGAGCCTGGAACCCGGGCCCACTCTCTCTGGGAACCGGGGGGGTCACCTGCATCGCTGCCACCCCCTGGCGGGTAGGGGTGTCCGTGCAGTCTGCCTCCCTCATTGTGGGACCTCCTCAGCTCTGTGTGCGTGTCCCCCTGCCTGTGTCCACATTCCCCCCAGAAGGACAGCAGCCGTGGGGTTAGGGCCCGCCCCCTGCAGGAGGCCCTCACCTGAGCTCTGAGCCGTCAGCAAAGACCCCAAGTCCAATAGGGCCCCGCCCGCAGGGGCTGGGGGTCGGGACCTGCTCTGCTTTCTGAGGGCGCTGCTACCCACTCTCGCCTTCGAGACTGTCAGAGAGGCCGGCCGGCGTGGCTCCGTGGCTGAGCATTGACCTAGGAACCAGGAGGTCAGGGTTCGATCCCCGGTCCGGGCACATGCCTGGGTTGTGGGCTCCATCCCCAGTGTGGGGTGTGCAGGAGGCAGCCGATCCATGGTTCTCTCTCATCATTGATGGTGTTCTCTCTCTCTCTCTCTCTGTCTCTCTCTCTCTCTCTTCCTCTCTGAAATCAATAAAAAATAAATATATTGTTGGAGAGGAAGATGAGAGAAGGGTGACCTCTGCATGACCCCCACTGTTCCCCTCCAGTGTCCCCCTCCCCCCAGTACCGACCTCACGCAGACCCTGGGCCGCTCATCCTGCAGACGGCGCCTGGAGACTCAGTGGGTTTTTCTCGAAAGGCCCCGAGGGCGGGTGATGGGCCTCCCTGGAGGGGGACGCTGGTCTCGCTGGTCTCACGGCCCCACGGGCACCCGGCCGGGCCCCTCGACGCGATGCCCTAGAATCCTCGCCGCGGTCTCCTCCGCGGACACCCGGGCCGGAGGTGACCTCCACGGCGGGCAGAGGGGCCGGGAGGACTTTACGGATCGGCAGGAAACTGTTTATCTGGTTTGCGAGGCGCCTTGAGAATTCCCAGGCCCGGCGCTTTCAAAGGCACCTGTGTTCCGTGGGCAAAGAGGAGAAAGTGCGTGTCAGCAAACCCGGGGATAAAAATGGAATTAGACGTGGAGTCAAGGTGAGCCTGCCTGTGTGTGTGTGTGTGTGGGGGGGCAGCACGGGGGCGGAACAGCCATCTCTCTCCTCGAGAGGCACGGGGTGCGGCGGGGGCGGCTGGTGTGGGTGCGCCAGTGACCTTGGCTCCCGGGGACGCTGAGCAAGGGCGGGGGTCGGGGGTCGGAGGGCAGGACGTGCAGGGTGTGGCGCCTGCAGCTGCCGAGGGGTGACCGGGATGTCGACCTCGTGGAGGGACCGGGAACCACTCACCGAGTTCCACACAGACCTATGTCCGGGTCTGGGGGAGGATGTTAATGCAATGGGTGTCGCCCAGGCCCTGCCCTCCGCCCTCTGCCCAGGGGCCCTGCCAGGTGCGTGAAGCCGGCAGCAGGCAGCCGCTCTGCATTCCTGCCATGGACCTCCCTCCTGGTCCCAGGTCCCCTTCACCCGTCTCCTGTCCCCACATGGCTTTCTTAAGGGCACGGGCTCAACACATAGCAGGTTTCTGGACCTCGCTTTAGCCGTCTCCCTCGAAATGCTTCCTCCGGCCGGCCGGTGGGCTCAGTGGCTTCGCGTCGGCCGATAAGCCAGGAGCCACGGTTCCATCGCCGGTCGGCGCGCCTGCCCCGGTGAGGGCTCGGTCCCCGGCAGGAGGCGCGCGGGATGAGTCTCTCTCATCACTGATGTGTCTTTCTCTCGCTCCCGCTCCCTTCCTCTCCGAAATCAATAAACGTTATTGAAGGTTGCCTCTTATTTGTGAGCCAGCACGTCATTGGCTCGGTCGTTATTCTAGAAGATTCTGTCGCTCACAGCGTCCCCCAGGCAAGGACAGACTGGCTTCTAAACGATTTAGCATCTCACCCGGCCTCCCAGGCTCTTTGCAAAATGCTTGGCTCTCTCTTCCCCCGAGCACACACCCGGCCTCGGGCTCCGCCCGCACCCCAACTGCCCCCACCCCCCAGGAGCGTGGCACTGGGTGGGCCACCCCCACGGGAGACCGCGCAGCCTCCCAGCCGGCATTGCCGGGCCGCGGGGACCCTGAACGCGCCTGCGTGTGGCAGACGAGAAGCTGGCGTGCTTTGCCGGGCGGGCACAGGCTCAGGGTCTGTCTGGGAGGCAGTGGATGCGGCCGGTTTGCCTCGTTTTCTGAGTCGGACGGAAGGGCTGGTTATCATTTTTCTCAGCGTGACGGCGCCCCGGGGCTGGGGCCCAGGCAGCTGTGCTCGGCCGGGGGCAGGGGGCGGGGGCGGCTTGTCCCTGCGGACGGGAGGCCCACAGCTTCCCACGGGCGGTGGCTTTCCCTCCGGGGTCGGGAAGTGGGGGGTGTCACCCACATGGCGGCCCAAGGGGCTCGTGACACCCGTGCCCCAGGGCGAGAGGATGGAGGCTGGGCAGGAGTGCGGTCCCACCTGCCACGGGCTCACCTGGAGAGGGGGCCGCTGGGGCCGAGAACCCAGAGCCCCCCCCCGCGCTCGGGCGGGAAGCTTGGGGAGCGCCCTTCTAATTTGGAAGCTCTGGTTCCCGGGAGACGTGGGGACGCCCCGACTTTTCCGCCCGGTCCCCCTGGAGGAGGAGAGCTCCGAGGGACGTCCCGTCTCCGCAGGCGCCCTGTTCAGAGGCCTGACCCCATGTCCACCCCCAGGGCGGGCAGTCGGGCGGGTGAGAGGCCAGGGGCGGGGGAGGGGGACACCCATGGAGGGGGACGCCCTTCCCTTGCCGAGGGTCCTGGGGCAGGTCCCCTCGGGAGGAGGTGCCGGCCTCCGGCCGCTCCCGCTAGTTAGCATGCGGCGAGCGTGGCGCGGGGAGATGTAGATCTCCCTGCGTGCGCGCCTGCATGTCAATGCGGGTAGGTGCCGTCCTGATGGATGGCAATTAGCGTTTTCTAACGGGAACAGCTGTTCCGATTGCCAGGAGGCTGGTACCGCACGCCCACACGCCGTCTGCTCGCCGGGCAGGGCCGGAGGGAGGGCCGGGCCGCCCTCCAGGCCCCAGCGGCGGGGACCCGACAGGACGGCGGGCGGGTGTTTCTGGAGGAGAGAAAAATAATGATAAAGATGTTCGCGGGGCGTAAATAGTTCGTGCTGCTTATCATGGGCTGCGCGTTCTCACGGAGGAGCAGCCGGGCTTCTAGGGGCGCGAACAAAGGC